GCAGGTCCTGCCGTTCCTTGGGGTGGATGGTGCTTGGGGAGAGATGTTGTGAGCAGGCTTTGGAGCACGAGGGGACATCGGTCTGCATTGGAGCAATGCGGGGGACATCTGTGTGCGTCGGAGCAACGGGGCAATCCTGCTGAGATCTTCCTTGGCATGGGTCCAGCAGGATGGCTCCTGGACCCCATACATCCCCCTGGACCCCGTACACCCTTCTCTGTGCACAGACAGGGTCAGGTGATGGAGAGGGGCTGAGGGGGTTCACGGAGGAGCCCCCAGGATGGTAACGAGCATTAACAGACAGCGAGACCCCCGTGGGCTGTGGTACCCTGGCACAGACGGGTGCTGCCTGTCCCTGGGCAGCTGCCTGCTCTTTGCCAGTACAGCTGGGGAGGGATGCACCTCGGCGCTGGTCCAGCATCCCTCCCGGGGCACAGCATGGGCTGTACAACGGACGGACCCCCACCTCGGCAGGGGCAGGAGGGGCTCTCCCTGCCGGGGACGGTTGGGGAGGGTGCTGGGGTGCATCCCTGGCAGAAATAAGAGGGAAGCAGTGTGAAGCTGCACACACTGCTCTCCCAGCAGACTGGATTCCCGAAATGGGGAAAATCTTCATTCCTCCTGGGTCTGGCTGGCTGCTGAGGAAGGACGGAGGAGATGGCCCCTGCGCGAGCCCTGCACCAGGAGCTGGTGGCAAAGGCAGGAGCAGATTTCCAGGGACGATGCAGAGATTTGGCTTTGGGATGCAGAGGGAGGGAGGGCAGGACTCCGGCTGGATGGTCCCTGTTTGCTCACAAGCCCAGGGTGCACCCCATAAAGCTGGAGGACGCAGCCCTGTGCTCTCAGCATCGCCAGCCAGGAGGGTCACAACGTGCAGAAATTCCTCCGAGGCCAACGGAGAGCATTTCGCTCCTGGGGTCTGATCCCATGGGAATCTCAGCTTCCCCTGGGAGTGCTGCGGGCTGTCCTTACACCAGCAGCACGCAGCAGCCCCACGGGATTTATTCGCTGGACCCAGCAGCACCATTTACTGAGCAAGGCAATGCAAACCCTGCAGAGAGTTCAGCTGCTCTGTGTGATGGTGCCAAGCACCAGGGCGCACCTCCCAAAAAGGCATCTGGCTGCCTCCATCCCAGAGGGGCGAGCGGACCCACCACGGACAGACGGACCCGCCGCAGACGGACCCTTTGCAGAAGTGGGAGGACAGAGGGAGCACCCCCCAGCCCTGCTGTGCTCACAAGTAAAGCCTTTCCCCATCTCTAAGGAGCTCAGGTCCCAGCAATCCTGCTCAGCAGAACCTCCTTTGCCTGCAATCCTCGCCAGGGCGTTTGCTTTCCTATCATCTCCCCAGCGATCGCGTCTGCTGGCTGGTTGCAACAGGCAGTCGCGCAGCGTGTGCGGCGATGCGATGAATATTAACCGCGGGGAGCAGACGGAGGCGGGTCCTGCCAGACCCCCGGAGCCCCAGGAGCAGCAGACGAGCCCCCAGCCCTTTGCCAGAGCCCCGTGTTCATGTGTCACTGCTCCCTTGCCCGGCTCGTTGTGACCACAGAACCATCCTTGGCAGACATTCCCAGGACCCTGGGTGCGTCTAGACTTTGAATTTCTCTCCTAGATGTCGCCAGTCGATTTGTACGGGGAGCACCAGGAGGGTTGTGCTCTGCAAAGCCGGGTTGTCTGAGCACCGGCCGAGTGAGTTTGCTCCAGTTCTTATTCCGTGCGCAGTCATTTTATTCTGGTTTCTACAAAATCTTCGTTTGAATTGAAGCCTTTTAGCCCCTCCTCGCCCTCCTCCATCAAACCCAGCTCTGCTTTCTCCTTTTAAGACATGAGTCTCATTTCTCATTGTGGTATAATTACCAAGGTCTATTTTGGGTTATAAAAGTGCTAAGTTGGGTCTGTTTAACAGTGTGGAAACTGAGTAAATCCTGAGTTGGTGGCCCGCACCCACGACACCGCGGCTCATGTCCTGTCATCTTCCCCTTTCATCCTTCGAGCAGATGAAACCTTTCTGGAGCAATTCTGCTTTATTGTGCAAATCAGGTTGATTTTTTTTTTATTTTTTT